CGAAAGCATGGCAGGTATCTGCAATCAAACTGCCAGCACAACATGCAGAAAATTGAAGACGGGGTGCACAGGATACCGACTCCAAGCACCACGGATGGCATGCCCTCACCATCTGCTGCCATCGCTGCCGTGGGTGTCATCATCACTGCTGGCACTGCGGCACCTGCTGCGACTTCAAGAGGGGTGGTTCCACGAAGCTGTGCGGCTGGAGCAGGGCCACTGACGAAGGCAAGGCAGCGGAGGGCAACGCACGCGGCCAGGGCGACGCAAGCAGTAATCAGCTTGGAGGAGCGGGCCATGATCGAGAGAGTTGCTGCCTGGTTCGGATGGCTGCGGCACCGCTCAGCTTTAGCTGTAGCCGTCGAGCCGAAATTTCCAAAACCAATCAGAATCTCTACCCTTCGACTTGTACACTGCTGCGCATGTAGTTGTGTGGGGATTGAGAAAACATCGCACCTGCCATGCTGCTCTGTGCTTGCACCACCTGACATGCCATGCATGTCCCTTCTCAACTTTGTGTGGAACTGCAAAGGCCTGAATGCTATTTGCCTTTCGCTTCTAGGAAAAACATATACAAAGGTGCGGGCCTGCGCCCTGCACAACCTTCAGGCATCTCAAAACACTCAGTCCAGCTCAGAGGTCACCGTCGCGCTGATGACGCTGGAGACTGCGCTGAATGCGGCCAGCATGCCTCGAGCACAGCACCACGAAAGCATGGCAGGTATCTGCAATCAAACTGCCAGCACAACATGCAGAAAATTGAAGACGGGGTGCACAGGATACCGACTCCAAGCACCACGGATGGCATGCCCTCACCATCTGCTGCCATCGCTGCCGTGGGTGTCATCATCACTGCTGGCACTGCGGCACCTGCTGCGACTTCAAGAGGGGTGGTTCCACGAAGCTGTGCGGCTGGAGCAGGGCCACTGACGAAGGCAAGGCAGCGGAGGGCAACGCACGCGGCCAGGGCGACGCAAGCAGTAATCAGCTTGGAGGAGCGGGCCATGATGGAGAGAGTTGCCGCCGGGTGCACAGGGTATTTTCTCGACCTTGAGCTGAGTCTGGCACGAACAGAAGCTTCACGTGAGCAAGCAGATCTGACTAGCATCCAGCGAACATGACAATGTCACGTGATGTGCAAACTGTGCTGCATACTCCGGGGCTTGCAGGAATAACTGCCAGCAAGATGTAATCTGGTGCTTAATGCCGCTCTCAGTCGGCCACAGCGCAGTCACAGAGTGCATTGCAATCGCTGTCTCACTGTTTGGAAGGCATTTCCGGAGGGCTTGGCAAGCCTGGGTTTGCGACTATGTCACTGTTTGCAGCTATGTACTGATTCATGCGAAGGACACACACACACACACATGCAGCAAAGACCAATCTCAAGGCGCGACGGACACTTTTGAATGAACTCGAGGTCAAGTTAGCCACAGATTCATACTGTCCCGTTCGCAGAAGCACTCTTTTCCGATGCACTCGCCAACGATATTCTCTCAGTGCCAAGCATATTGCCCATGTATGCGAAAGAAGAGAAAAACTGGCTTGGACTTCACTGGCTTCTGTCAAAGGGATACTTGTCACATCTTATTGCACTCAGTCCAGCTCAGAGGTCACCGTCGCGCTGATGACGCTGGAGACTGCGCTGAATGCGGCCAGCATGCCTCGAGCACAGCATCGCGAAAGCATGGCAGGTATCTGCAATCAAACTGCCAGCACAACATGCAGAAAATTGAAGACGGGGTGCACAGGATACCGACTCCAAGCACCACGGATGGCATGCCCTCACCATCTGCTGCCATCGCTGCCGTGGGTGTCATCATCACTGCTGGCACTGCGGCACCTGCTGCGACTTCAAGAGGGGTGGTTCCACGAAGCTGTGCGGCTGGAGCAGGGCCACTGACGAAGGCAAGGCAGCGGAGGGCAACGCACGCGGCCAGGGCGACGCAAGCAGTAATCAGCTTGGAGGAGCGGGCCATGATCGAGAGAGCTGCCTGGCGGGGAGGAGTGCTGGCTTCCGTGTCCTGTGAGCCAAATCCTGAAGGTCACAGCAGGAGCTCCCCTGTGGTCACCTGCTTCACGGTTTACTCGTCGAGTGCTTGCGTGGCAGCCGAGTGTTTTCTGTCGTCAGAAGCTGGTGTCAACCGCTGCACGCCCGAATTGGGCAAGAGCCCGACTCATCTTATCCTGCATGGTTTCGCACTCAGTAGGCTGGCCGTGCAAGGCATGCAACACGCACACACACACACAACTTGCAGACACGATGGTTTTGCTTGCTCACCTTTTCTGTAACCAGGAAGTCATGGCTAGCGGCTATCTCTGCTAGCCTGCTGGAAGTGACGTCTTTCAATGCATGAGCCGTTGCAGAGGGCTCTACCGGAGAAATCAACATACCGAACATGAGCGGTGTTGCCTTGCCTGTCGCGACCGGCGCTTGGCCTTGCAACAAACATCACCATGTCGAAAGCATCAGGCTCGGCAAAGTCAGACATGTTTGGCATTTCAACTGGGAGCGTTTTGCGTTTTGCCTGTGATGTTGCAGTATTGTGGACGGCGGGCGACTCTGTTCTCCAATGTGTTCGGGTTCGGGCTCACTCGCGGAATCATCATGTCTCAACTTCAAACTCGGGCAAAAATGTCGGCCCCTCTTGTTTGCTTGTCGGTCAATTGGGGGATGCACAAACCGTCGCGAGAATAGTTTGGTATTCTCCATCGGGGCGGTGTTTTATTTGTCCATCCGTTGTCTGTTCGTCTGCTCATAAATCTTACTCCTTCCATAATATTGTGCCTAGTCTGCGTTCACATCCTATAACCACACGCTCCGGGTGCGGCCGCGACCTAAATAAAGCGCGATTCATTGCACATGCCAGTGCCTTCGCCTCATTTTGGTCTGGCAAGGCCAGTCGGGGAAACGTTTTGGTTGTATCTCCGAGTCACGACTGTATATTCTGGGAGAAGCATTGTGGTCGCGACTTCTTGGAAACGCTTGAGCTCAGATGACAAAGCCCTGTGGCAAGTGTACTTGTGCAACGGTGAAGCCCGCCAGTTCATGAGGGAGCGATGGTGGGATGACGCCCTGAAAACGCTGGAGCTCTCTTGACCCGCCGCCTCATTCAGTGATGAAGCGATTGCGGTTGCTAACCCGCACCCCATTAGGCGATTGCGATGACGGTTGATCCTATTCCTTCAACCCCTTCATTAGGCAACAGCGGTTGGTACCATTTCGTAAACCTGCCGTCGTCAGGCGATGGCGGTTGACCTTATTCCTTCAAACCGCCCCCGCATTCGGCGATAGCAGTTGATCCAATTTCTGGAGCCCGCTCCCTCGAAAATACATGATAACCGTCGATCCCATTTGTTTAACCCACCTCCTCACTGCGTGATGGCGGTTCATGCCATTTCTCAGGCCCGCTCCCTCCATGAGCGAAAGCTACTTCTAGCGAGAGCTGTTGATCCCATCTGTTCAACCCGGCCACTCATCAGGGGATGGCGGTTGAACCTATTTCTTAGTCCGGCCCCTCTCATTTCTTACACCTGCCGCCTCATGAGGCAGCACAATGCTCTGTCATGCGTGTGGGATTGAGAAATCTATGCTGATTAAGAACAATGTCGCAAGTCCAGGTGCTGCACGTACGTTGCCATGAATGAATGTATCTCGCAGCGCTAGTCGCATCTGACCCGAAAGACTCACTTTAAGCAGGCCTTCGGCTCTTGCTTTGCAACAGCCTCAGGATGCGCTGGCGATGCCTGCGGCACTGCTTGGGCATTGAATCGCCACATCATATAGTCTCGAGAAGTTGCAGGACTCCTTTGGCTGATCCGCTGTCAGCACGTTTGGCATCGCTGATTCTTCTCGATCCTGCATTTGAAGGATGTTTCATTGTGATCGTCGTCATCAGATCAGCTAGCCAAGTCGAAGAAGGGAGCCGTAGAAATGGTGGTTGATGATTTTCTCAAGTTCAGGTTTACTGCCGAATGAGATGCTCTTGTTGAAGATTTGTACCCGTCCTTGATGGCTGTGGGCAAGCACAGGGCGCTTGTTGCAGAACCCGAAGATTCGACAACAGGTGCCAAGCCTTTGCAAAGACTCTGCGGAGCTTCAAGCTCATTCATAGGGGGTTTTCTTCCTCCAACGAAAATTCAAGCGGTTAATCCTTGATATATGCCAAGTGACCATCATCTCTCATACTGACATCCTCTGCGCAGCTGCACTAAGGAAAGTAACACGAGTACCTACAGCAATTCGGTTCAAGAAACCACTTGTCTAGGGTATTTGCATGAAACACAAGACATACTCGCATCTGGCTAGACCTCTCCAGCTCCCGAAGGTACGCATGACGCAGTGCTTTTGGCCTCAGCGTGACAAGCCACGCTGCTCTGGATCTTGAGGGGATGGACCATGCCAGTGCTACATGCACAGTTCCAACCACTTGGCCAGGAGCCTTCGCTTTGGCTTGTTTAAGCCTCTTCGCAGCCTTTGCCGCATTTCTGGCCTGCAGTGTCGACACCAAGCCCCAGCGGTGCTCAAGTCTGAGTAGGCTAAGTCTGGGCTATGTGTGCATGCGCGCCTGTGCGTCCAAGGGCATGCATGAGTTCTGTACGTGAAGTTGGCTTGGGGAACATGGCTACTTGCGCCATGCGTTGTGCGTACATGCATTCAGACACCGGGCCGAACGCAAAGGCATACCTGCTCTTTCGGCACAATGCGCTTGTCCATGCAATCATGCCCGACCTGCCAAACTTAGTGGGGTCATACCACTAAGCATTTCATCCACGGGTGGAGCCAGTTCGGTGTTGCCAACAGATGCTGTCCTAAACCTTGCGCATCCTTGCGCGACGACCTGAACTGCATGTCGAGAGTTTCAAGAGGAGATCGAAAAAACTCAACCACTGTCAGGTGTCTTTCCCCAAACATCCCCAAAGGCATCTGGCAGATGCACAGAACCCAAAGAAGCGTGATCGCAATTAACGGCCCAGCTGGAATACGCCCGGAAATCAGCAGATCATAGCGACAATGCCATAACCTCACCAGCAAGGCCTTCTTAGTCGGAGCCATCAATTTCCTGGTAAAAATACAACAAGCCCAGCACAGCCCAGCCACTCGTGCCATCATGATCCCAACTACGAGTACATTTGCGTTCGCTCCCTTTTTTGCAAAATTTCGCTGAAACGTGTCAGTTTCCAGCACAACGCGAGCAAACGAGCGGAAATACCCAGGGAGCACAGCACATCCAATTCGAGCAAGGTCACAGAGTTTTCGGGACTTGCCAAAGTCGAATTGCGAAGCGTAGTTGTTGACTTGATGTTCCTTTTCGAGCACAAGTCAAGAAAGGACAAAGCGTCAGCACTGCCTGCCTCTTCGCTGACTGCGGCCTGTTTCTTCTCGGCCAATGTCTTTGCAGCTGGTCGTGCAGCGACCTGCTAAGACCCTGCTTCAGCATGCCAAACTGTGGAAGGGTCTTGGGCTCTCTCGGGCTATAGTGTCGTCGATCCATGTTACAGCCCTTCAAAGGCCGTGCTCTTGACTTACTAGTATTAGTACCAGAGTTTACTGAATCTGCCGATAAGCCAGATCCAAGCCTAGTCGCTCTTCCAGTTCAGCATCCCCTTGCCGAGGACGGACAAGTTTCGTATTATCAGCTTCAGCCGTCTCAAGGCTCTCAGCTTTTCGGTGGCAGTTCGGGGAGTTGGGGGCGCGGTCCTAAGTTTGAGTCGAATGCAATCGGAAAGCCATCCATCGGAAAGGCATATCTGCGATGTTGATGGATGAGTTTCGGGAATCTGTCTAGCTATTCACAACCCATGGTGGGAGGGTGAGGCATCAAAAAAAAACTAAATAGACATCAAAAAAAAACTAGACCGGAGAA